TCTTTATTTATTGTAATGTGAAAAATTTGTCATATGAAATTACGTCATAACATTTTGCATCGGCATGTAACCTCTGATAATTGGGTAAAGATTCATTTAATACATATACAATTTCAGAAAAAATCATTAATAGTTGTTAATAGTTTCCCAAAGGCGAGCTCTCCAACACAGTAGTGTTGGAACCAGCAGCTTGTTTTAAATTTGTTCCGGATTTGGGAAATGTATAAAAATAGATTTAAAAGTGAGAAAATACGCCGCCTAGTGACGTCTTCTGACATTTCCCTTTTAACGGACGCATTTCAGCAGATTAGATCATTTTGTCATATCTCATCCAGTAATTCCTCAATTTATGAACCAAGGGTATCCTCGTGTTCAGCTCACTCGGTAGCGTCCATGCAAACACGGAATTCATCATTTTTAGACACCTGCCCATTGGTGACAAAGTAATCTTTATTCCTATTTTTGACGCTGTGAAGGCCTAAAATACGGAAACAAATCAGAAATGGATTCGCATTGTCTTTACTCTCAGTTTATACTCTCCAGGGACTCTACACTGAAAAAAAATTCTCGGCGTTTTTACGAAGGTCCGTTGGTACCTTTACCATCTCACTTTTTTTACCAATTATTGGTAATTTTACCAAGACAGACTGGTTAGCTTACCTAAAAACCGGTATTTTTACTGTTTTTTCAGGTAAGAATACCACTTTTATTGGTAATCAATTCCCGGTAACTTTGCCATTTTATCTCGGTAATTCTACCACGGTCGATAAAAAATATTGGCGTTTTTCCCATGGTCCAGTAAAATTACCGAGAAAGTTCAATAATTTTACCGAGATTTCTCGGTAAAATTACCAATTTCATAAATGGTAATTTCACCAAGAGAAAACTAGCATCAAATAGAACCCTGAATCCCTGGTAATTTTACCCTTTTCTTATAGTAAATACACCGAGATTTTTTTTCAGTCTAGTATATTGTATTCGAGGGGATGCTTGAGAATTTCCCGCCATTTTGACAATGCCGGCTAGATGGCCGGTTCATTGAGGCGACGAAGATCTGGGAGCGTGGTTCTGCAGCGCGGCAGCGCTGGGATGTCGTGGCGATCGATGGACACCAAGGGCAAGGGGACTCCAGGTCCGAACTGAGGACTCATCCATCGCAGATCGGTCTCATCCACCAATTTCCACCGGGCTCCCAACAACGTCGTCATTATTTTGCACGCGCGTCGCGTCGCGTCTCTTCGGTTCGGCTGCTTTCGTTTGCATCGCTGCGCCATTGGCACACTTTTCCACACGCGCCGCGGCGCTGCGAAACTTGGCCCGCGACGAGCAGCCGTCAGCCTCGTCTTGGGTCTTCCTGTCCACGGAAGCTGAAGAGTGACAACCACTCTTAAGCCCTCGTCCTACGATCAAATGAACGATCAAATGCAAGATGGCGGGTTCATCAACATTTGACGGCCCGCTAACATTTTTGATAGCGGACTTGGGCGAAAACCAGTCGCCATCTTGCATTTGATGAGTATTTGATGGGTTCATTTGATCATGGGACGAGGGCTTTGGTGCAGACAAAATCAGAGGTGGAATATTTCCGAGACCCCGTAGTTCATAGAGACCCTTCATACTGAGAGTAAAGACAATGCGATTCCATTTCTGATTGGTTCCCGTATTTTAGGCCTTCACGGTGTCATAAACGGGAATAAAGATAACAGTTTCACCAATTGCAAAGATTATAAACCGGAATGGACCGGGGAATTGAGGGAACGGCAAGGAACGAACGGAATGAGAGAAGGAACGGAGACAGGAATTCAAGAGTGAGCTGATAAAAGATTACGAAAAACGCTCGATTTGTGTAATCTTTATTCCCGTTTGTGACATACATGAGCCGCGTTGTCTTAACTCCCTCCATGAAGGGACTTTAAAGATGAGTTTGTTTTAAAGATGAGATTGTTTTACGGCACAGTAAATCCTTGCCATGTAATATCCTTTTTGAAGCGGGCAGACAAAACCAAAATCCCTTCATTTTTGCAGGTACACCCCGAACATTCATCGAGCAGTAATAGTTGCTTCCAGGCGCCTTGGCGTAGACTTGTGCCGCAGCAGTATCGCGTCAGTAAGATGAACCTTAAGAGCTTAAGGATTTCGTCGGACTTGAAAAATCTTGGACTTACATTCTTGCAGACTTACTTTCATACTTCATTCTTTAAATAGAAAATTGCTCCACGTCAATTCTTGAAATCTTCCGCGCTA